AACGTTTTTTCGAAAAAAAGATTTTTTTTTAAATTGACGTGTTTCCATTGAGCAAATTTATTGTCGAAATTCTAAGTTGCGCATTTTCATGGTCAATGGAAATGCAGCTAGTGACTAAAACTCTCTTACTGTTAATAGTATTTCTGTTTTTATTTCAAATTCTTAGTTGGACACAAAGTACTTTTCAGTGTTTATAAGAGGACATGTTCAAATATTGTTTCTACACAGAAAATACCACGTCGAGCTCAGTAATCGATTGTTAGCGGTGCTCAGCTGTAGCAGTGAGACGAGGAATGTGAGGTTTTATGTTTAGTCAAAATTAAATACGAAATGCTGAAGTTAATTACAWCTSGCCCTTTGAGGGTCAYCATAATGCTCACTTCCTYAGCTGTCTGTAAAAATGTGACACCCCTGCTGCCACAGAGTATCACTGCCATCTTAAAACAACTACACTCTCAACATGTTAAAGCAATTCATACAAACACTATCCTATACACCGTACCTTGGCATTGTAATCATATTTGCATTATAATGAGATTCTAGAAAGTGTCAAGAGACACAAAAAGTTCTAGTTGTTGCTGATATTTGTACCAATAACCACAAAACACAACGTAAATAATCTTGTGAAGTTGAAGATTTCAGTGCTCACATGAACCACTTTAAAACATTTTAGATTTGAGATGGTGATACTTTATTGTATACTTATCCACATCTGAATTAGCTGTCAGTTCATTAGTCTATTTATTTTTATTTTAATAATCATTATTGTCCCTCCATGGGGAAATTATTCATTTTTTCCCATCACACATGTGAGCACACGTGGAGCAGAAGGCTGCCATTTAAGGTGCCCAAGGAGCAGCTGGGGCCTTGCTKAAATGAGGGTTTCCYAYCGACGTTATTGTTKTTGGTCCAGGGAGTTGAACCGGTGACCTTCTGATTACAGGCTCRCCTTCTCTTCCTAATATAGTCAGAAACAAACTGCATTTCTCCTAATAAAATCTGTACAATTAGTTGTCTACAACAGGTAAGATATTATTTGCTCACATACTTTTCACAGAAACCTAATTAAAAAGATCAGCTGTTGCTTTAAAGAGTCACTTTGGGTCTCGGATGCAAACAGGACACAGTGAAGTGGCCTTGAGCCAGCTGGAAGGTGGAAAAATCAACTCCTGACTCCATCATTTGGAGCAGTTACTAGACGTAATGGTCAGTTAATGGGCTTCTTTGAAGCAGGTGTATGAAAAGAATGAGAAAAAACATACACAGTCTTAGAAATTTCTTGAAATTTAAAGTGCCTACATACCATTCAGGAACAAAAGGCTTTAAAGGCATAGCAACAGTAACTAAGTAAAGGTTACTGTATGCTGTTCTGTTTTATCCATTTGTTCAGATTGCAGTGTGTGTGTGTGTGTGTGTGTGTGTGTGTGTGTGTGTGTGTGTGTGTGTGTGGGTGTGTGTGTGTGTGTGTGTGCTAGTGAAGCCATTGATCACTTCCTGCATGCTCCTGGTGCTCACCTGCCCCAGTTACACTCTAGAAATGTTTCCTCCCATGAATTATGAATAGAAAACAGTTCGACATAAAGGCAACTTCTGAGGAAGTGTATTTCTAAAAACCAATGGGCTTTCCTTTGGCCGTCAGATTTAATTACATGGGTTTTAGTGCTCAGAATGAGTTCACAGCTTATTTCCTGTTTGTCCTCTTGGCCCCGTCATTCACCAGATTATAGAATTAGGTTTTCTGAGCCTACTGTGCCTGGTGAGAGGAAAAAGGTTGAGACAGCCAATGGGAGTAACTATTAAGCTTGGTTTTAAAAATCTTAGAGCATCAAAGGAGAACTTCAGAAAATAAAGCTTCAACATAAGTAAAGTCATAAAAAAGATGGCCTATGACTGCATTTAGGCATCTATAAATAATCACTACCCCTGTTTTGTCTTTTGCAGGGCTGATACTACAGTTTTCCACTCTGCTAATGATATATGTTATAATTATATTCTGTGCCCACATACGCAGGCGTAATGTAAATGACCATCATCACTGACACAGTTATCTGCCTCATTGCTCTGTTTATCCTGACAACAGCAGCGTTAGGAGCACACTGTATGCCCACTCAGCTCTTTTATAATTAATACTTTGAATGTTGGCTCTCTATTTCATCCATTTTCGGTCTTGTAGATGAGATGCATCATCTGAATGGATCATATACTGTATACAGTACATACTGCAGGTGAGCTAATTTGCTTAATAGGATGTTTGGATGAACTAATCCATGCATCAAAATCAAGGCCCGCAGGCCAAATGTGGCCCACAACAGCATTTTATGTGGCCCGCAAGGGCTTTGAAGATGTACTAATGTCATAAAATAAGCAAGTGCTGCTTTAAAGTCAGCATTGACCATAAACTACATCTCCCATGATGCATGTTGTTTGTTTTACCCGCAAAACGGCAGCATTCCACCACTTCAAAGGTTAAAAGTAGCTGGAAGCTGGCGAAATTTGCTGTGTAAAATCTCTATTTTGCTGCATTTTTTAGCTGCATTCATCTGCCGACTACTTTTGTTGTGGCCCAGTTGTTCTGGGAAGCGGTAATTTCCCACTTACAAGTCATAAATTTTAACTGGACCGCCTCTCCAAAACAAATTCCCTGTTGGAAAGTGGGAAAGTTCAGAATTCAAGATGGTGGTTACTTCTCACAAATCAAAAGTGAGTAAAACTCTCTTATTTTAATATTTTAATAGTATTTCTATATTATTTATTTCACATTCAGTCAGTCGTAAGAGGATGTGTTAAAATGTTTCTACACAGAACATACCACGTAGAGCTCAGTTATTGTTTGTTAGCTCTGCTCAACCGTAGCAATGAGACTAGGAATATGACATTTCATGCTTAAAGATTACACACAAAACGTTGAAGTCACAACAGGACCTTTGAGGGCCACCATAACGCTCATGTGGCCCTCAATGAAAATGACTTTGACATCCTTGAAGTAATCTGTTTTGCATTCAAATATTTTTCCAGCCCCCCTTTATTTTGGACGATGACCCCATTCTGATGTCTTTAACTGTGTATTAGAATGGGTCCACAATAGATCTAAGTATACTCAAACATGTAGCAAGGTTGTGGTGGTTTATCCTCATAGTGGCTGCACAGTAAGGTCCTGGGTTGCAGTGATAATTTCACTGACAAAATATAGTTTTTGTCAACAACCTGCCTTTCTAGACCAAAACAAGATAACTACATACAAACCAAAGGCTAAAATGATAGCGAAAGCTATTGTTGAGAAATAAAAAAGACAAAAAGTCTGAAAGGTACAAGATTCAATCTGATCTGATTTAACTGAAGCTAAGCTAACATTACATCCTGAGCTGCCAGTGTGTTTATACAAGGCTACAAATTGAAAGAAAGCTCAGCTGCTGTACCGAGTTAACATTGCTGAATGGGAAAAATAAATTACTCATGTTGTGATTTAAATAGATATTTGACAAATGTCTTTAAGAAATGACTGCAGTGGGCATATTAGGTGTCAAATAAACTCAACACTTTTATTTCCTTTTTCTCTGCATCAGACAGGAGGTAAAGAGAAGGAGGCTGTGGGAAAACAGAATAACTGATATATTAAAGTTATAATGTTACACAGTTAACAAGAGCAGTCCTGATGGTTTTGCATTACTACTTTCGATTAAACATTTTTGATAATTTTAATTTTAATTACCAGTGAATGCTAAACTGATCATTATTATTATTCATAATAAAAGTGTTGTGGTGGTATAGGGGTAGTATTTGCAACACTATTTCTCCAGTTGAATCAGGAACATCTAATAATTTCTACGAACAATGCAACATGTTCAGTGTCAGCAGATTTACTGTTTATCATTATCTTGGTATGATTTTCTTTTATGACAAAACAAAATCAGATGAATTAAATCATTTGTATTTTGTTCAGGATTTAAATTTAGGTTTATACTGTAAATTGATTTAAAGTTATTAGGAAAGTTACTAATAATTCTTACACTTTATATTTTAAATCTACAGTAAATTTTATTTGTTTAAAACTATGACTACTTTATTAACCTTTATTTAACCAGGCAAATGTCATTGAGATCACAGATCTTTTTGACAAGGGAGGCCTGAAGGTATCCTAATATGTTTTTTATTTTTTTTATTTTTTTATTTTTTATTTTTGCCAGGATGAAAACCTGAGTACCCTGATTTAAACATAAAAACAGACTTTTAATAACAGCTAAAAGGTAACATATATACTTTATTATGGTATAGTATTTAAATATATGCCTGAGAAACACATTGGCCGTTTAAGGAAGAACAATGACAGAGGCTGGAGCTGTCATCGAGACAAAGTCATGGGAACAACCCAGTTCAGACATGATACAAAAAAAAATGGCACCATTGTACTGGCATGATGTCATATTCTCGCGCTTTAACTTCACTCTGACACAGCTCAAGAGAGTCGTGCCAGTGTGGACGGGCTGTGAAAAATAGAGAAAACCTATTTGGTGAGTACCCAGAGCATAGCAGTGCTATGATTGCCTTTAGTTCGAAGGAGGTTTTCCAAATTTGCAGTGATCCAGCCACGATTGTGAAGACGACGCAGCAGGGGTATGGCCCAGTGTGAAGGGGGGCCTTACAAGTACGTCCCACTCCATTCTTTTTTTTTTCTAAACACCTGGCTGGCTTCAAGCAACACCTCCCTCCAAACAACACAACTCCCCACTTTTAAAAGAAGTTGTTTTCTCTTGTCTTCACCTTCGTGTTTGTTCCTGTGGGTTCAGGCAAAGCATCTTGTGACCATTTGGATTGATATTGCTGCCATATAAATAAAACTGAACTGAGTGCTTGAGATGGACCGTCGAGCTGTCTCACAGCTTGTCCAGTGTCAGGTGGGATATATGCCTCCATCATCCCCACAGCCCTTGGAAAACAAAGCAGTTGGATGGACGCTTGAATCGAGGTGCGCCTCAGACTCGTGCAGACCCCCCTTCACTCACCTTCGTGGTCTTCACTTTGTTCCCGTAGATGCACGACCAACCAGTGAGGTCAGGAAGGACTCGGCACTCCTCCCCTTCCAGACACGGCTCCATTTTACACCACCATTTCAGACGCACAATAGAAGCTGGAGAGAGAGAGAGAGATAAAAAAAAAAACGTCATGGCAGAAGGTCACTTTTTAGATTGAAGAACTTCTGAAAAGTAAAAGAAGAAGAAGAAAAAGATGAATTGTTTGGAGAAAAAAAAACATCCCAATCAGACGTCACCCGCCGGTCCTTAAAAGCCTCAGTGTTAGTGGATTCCAGAGCCGTAAAAATGCTTTCATGTAACAGAATATTTCTTGAGAAGAGGATTTTAGTCATGTTACCTTCCACACAAGAGGGCAGCGCCCTTGTTGTCCCTGCTACCTGTCCTGGGAAGCAGGAGCACTTGACTGTTTGAGAGCGCTCTTCAATCTTGTTCTTATTGCAGCAACGATGAGCAGCAACTACTTCACAAGTCCCTGTCCTCTCCTGTGATGATCCTGTAAAAGGAGTTCAGTGGGAGAAAGACAACAGGTTTTACATGCAAGATGGGGCAACTCGGGTAAAACTAAAGGATCATTTTAAGTTGACAGTCCCAGCTATTGGAAACAGATTTTTTTTTGTATTTATTAGATGTTAAATTCAAATAAATGTATTTTTGCTCTGATAAGAAAGTAGTCAAATGAGCTCTTTTCAGTGCTGTTTTGTAAAGCTACAGCGCCCCCAGGTGGACATGTAGCATCCTCAGTTCATCACAGGACCGATTGTGAGCTCAGGGATGAGAAAAGAACTGTTTGGGAAAATGAATGGATTCAAAGCAGAAGCCAAAGGAGCATTCAGAGTGACGAGAGAGGCAATAAGTGTGCTGAAATCTGTCGTGCAGGGAGCAAAAAGCAAAACTATCTGTAGACTGTAAAAAATTTAATATATATATTTATATTTATATTAAAGCTAGGTAAATATGTCAAATGTAACACTGAAGCCATAAAATACAAATGAGAATAGTAACATCACACTAAACTGCAAAAAAAATAAAAAAACCAGAGGACCGTGACATGACGACCTGCATCACTATGGCAACCCGTGCTGCAAGCCTGCTCCGAGGCAGGTAAAGCTTGCAGATGAAAAACCACACATTTGAACCTGCTGCCTTCAAACAATCTGTTTTTTTTTTTTAAGAAAAACAACACAAATTAAGAAAACACACTGATGCATAAATAGTGAAAGGTTTAGACGGATGCAGTGGTGGGCACAGTTCCCCTAAAGCACTAATAGGGGAAATAATTTTCTGGTTAGTGCTTTAGGGCTTTTGCTAATTTTAAAATTTATTATTAGATTAGCACTTGCTAAGTTTAGAAGCACTAACTAGGTCTATAAATGTTATTGATCAACATTGATGTTCACAGCTGAGGGTGAAAGCTGTCACACATTTTGTTCATACGTGTGTCACTAATATATTGACAATATATTAACTTAAACAAGGCTGTGGAATGTCAATGATAAGTCTTAAGAGAGCTACACGGCAACATGTGACTCATGTTGTCTGTTGAAGAATGTTCATGGGTTGACTGGGTTATTTTAGTGCTTTAGAATTAGTTTTTGCTAAAACTTTCAGTGCTTTAATGCTTTAGAATTAGGGGACCTAAATATTTGAGTTAGTGTTTTAGGGCTAGTGGAACTAATTTTTAGATTAGTGCTGCCCACCACTGGACATATGAGCAGCAGCAAAACCAACCGATAAGACTAAAACAAACAGTGATGGCTCAAGAGCTTGTTTCTGTTAACTTTAAAAAGTAGTCTGTAGAATTTGATTTACAGATGAACAAACATTACTTTTTGTATCCTAATACATACTGTATAACATATGCTCACCAAAGTGCCTCAAATTGGGTCCATGTGTTTTTATTTATGTCCRAATAAACCTTTAAGTATATATTTTTAAAGTGCAAGAATTAAAAAAAATAACTTATGACATTATATGTTACTCTGATTGACAGAAAACATACTTATACTGTCTTGTTTGAATAGTCATCACCTGCCACCAAAGGCAGAAAGACAATGTTTATGTCTACACAAAAGATCTCAAGTAAACATTAAGTAWACTTGAATATATAAGTATATTCCCCTAATATACTTTTACTTACCAAGTACACTTTTAGTATATTTTAGAAGCCAAGAATAGGTAACTAAAACTATCTAATGTCTAATATCTAATGATTACATAAAATGTTAACTGACAGTATACTCTTTTATTCATTTATGTAGAGAACTATCTTCCACTCTTATACACATTACTGCATTACTGCACCTTATTCATAATCATCTACCTCTACACTGATGCTGTCATACTAATACTTAATATTCACTTTGCATACTGCTGTCGTATAGTTTTTTTGTGAATAACACTGTAAAGTACACCGCACAGATGTATCCTTATGTAGTGAAGTATGATGTGTATCTTTCTGTATATTGTGTACTATGTGAAAATTATATGTAAAGTATCTGTACACTGTTAATACTAGAGAGACACGAACAGCCGGAAACAAATTCCTTGTGTGTGTTTCAACACACTTAGCCAATAAATCTGATTCTGATCCTGATTCTGATTTATTTATTTATTTGTTTATTTATTTATAGCTTAAAATTGGTATACTTGAAGAACACTACTAGTTTTTTGGAAAGAGTGTGTCTGTCTGTCTGCATGTTCTGTTGTGTTTGTAAAATATCTCCTGAACTGGTGGACAGGTTTTGATGAAACTGTCGGAAAGGAATTACTGAATATTTTGGAATCAAMCTGAGTCAAGATGGCTGCCACAGCTGAACTTAGTTTTGGATATTTAAGTGTTTTGTACTGGTTAACTTGACTCGGCTTGACTGCAAATTTCTTTTTAGTTGTAATTTACATCCGATCCGATAATAATTTTTTTTCTTAGTTTCATTAAACTCTGGTCAGTGGTTGATGAGAAATTTTGCTAACAGAAAGAGTTGACTCTAACAATTAATGCCAGGGGTTTTAGTAAAGATCTTCTACAATGTGCAGTATTCAAAGTAATGTGCTGGGGAAGGTCCCAGTCAGTTATCTGTTGAGATCATTTGACATCGGTTGATTTTAAAAGTTAATCAATACCAAGTGTAAATCCTATTTTTTTTTCTGAAAAATATACAGATATATTTAGCTGACTCCAACTGTTAATGGCAAGGTTTGAGGGATGACCCTCAACTACCACCACTACTACAGAACAGTAACACGTTATACTCGTTCCTCAAAGAGATGGCAAACTTTTTAACTGTTGCCATATGAGGTCTTTCTTTTAGTTTACATGCATCCAAATAAAGCATACCATATTTTGAAAATGTGTAAAAATATTCCACATAGCAAAATTTGTCCGGCCTGCACAATGCAACAGTCTGCCCAGACACTGCAAAAAAGGACGGCCCTTTGATGGCTCACATGTGGTTTGCCAGAGGTGGTCCATGCATGGGCCAGCACCACATAAACTCAACCGCAGCTGGGCCAGTTGTGGCATTGACAGATTTGGGCCACATAAACCAAATTGGGCCAGTTGTGGCATGCCAACTTTAAAAATAGTGCTATCATTTCCAGGTCTGGCCCACACCTATCTTCTATGTGGAATGTGTTGTAGTGTCCAAGAGTGGGGGGCCTCTTCTCAGGAAGGCACAGATGTGTTACGTCTCTGTTTCCAGCTTCAGAGCTCGGCACACATTACCATATTAGGAAGAAGGTATACCGTGACAAAATTTATGGTACATCTGTGAAGCCTATAAAGAGCCTTGTACGCCCCCACCCTGAGCCTTCGTTCTCCATCTTTCTTACTTGGTGAATCATTTGGCATTGAAGGCCATAATTTGGTTTTTGGCTGTAATCTCCTGGACTGCAAAATAAAGATTCTTGCTGTTCAACCAGCCTGTTTCAGAGTTCTCTCTTCAGTGAGCAACAGCAGTTCCACTTGAACCAGAAGACGTGGGGGTTTTTTTCACCTCAGTGTCTTTAAAAAAACACTTGTGAACCCTTTATAAACTCAATTATAAAATTCTGGTACCAATATATCTAAAATGCATATAAACAAAAGCATTTTCTTTTATGAGCTATCAGCTCTTTAATGTATTTCACAATGACGCTTCGTTGAAACTCCTACTCTGATTCTAGAGCTAAACCCAGTACGCAACATGGAATATCTGTTCATTTTGATTAAAAGACTATGTTTATTCTAATAGCTGTGTTGCTTTTATTGGAGCTCCTCTTCAGACCAGCGGGCTGGTGACCTGGAGTCATAATGAGTCCCTGTGGGTGTATGAGTGGTCTGGCTCAGTCTGACACTCACCTGTCTGTCCTCGGGAGCTTTGGTTGCCACTGGACACTGACTGGATGCTCAGGTTTATTACACAGAGCACCAAGAGGARCCACTGGAAATGATGTGTCCATGTATTCATCTTTCCCTAAACCAAGATTCACACAAATGTTAAGAAAACAGCTTTATAAACCAAAAGTAACAAATTTAGCTCTAATATAATTATGAGTTCATGTTTATTTGCGAGACTGACGYACCATTTAGCTGACCCTGACGGCAAACTGGGGAAAAGGCGGAGTGGGGAGGGGGGAACAGACGAGATTCAGATTTCTTCTCACTCCTGAGTCATATTTTCCTTTCAGCTGTGTACGGCTATAATTTAATCTAAAGTTGGATTTCACATGAGTCACTGGGACATTTTATGCTAAATCGCAGCAATAAACAAATCAGATAAACGATGACAAGAAGTAACTGCTAGTTTGCTGAAGGCGATCTCATTAATCACACATTGCTTTTAAGGCTCTAAATGACCTACATTTAGCAGATTTAAACCATATTAGTTTTTCAAGCTGATAATTCAGTTGTTTTAATGGTTCCATAGATTTTTAAAGCCCGAGAGTCAGGTGAAAGACCATTTTCTCAAGGCTGACTATTTCATAGAATTGTACAAATGCTCCATATAAACATATTAAGTTTTTTTTTGAAAAGCATAGACACACAAATAAAAAAAATGAAGACTTGTACATTCTGCAATGTGCAGTATTATCCAGCCTCTGCTTGAAAATGTAATTCTTCACTTACTTGTGCTCGACTCATTCATGTGCACAATAAGTCTTTGTTGAGATCTCCATTCATTTCAAGAAAGAAACAGAAGTTTGCAGAAAACGTTATTCCTCATTTCCAAAGTTGTCTACCCTTATGCAAAGTGAGGGGAAAAAATAACAGAGACATGTCAGCCTGTTGAGACRTACAGGTACAGCTGCACTTCTACATCAGCTCCTCTCCCCGGAGTTCCAGAGCTGGCTGTGATGCGAGAGAGAGAGAGATGCTGCTTTGCAAAAACAACAGGACAAGTCTGTCAGCTTTACCCGAAAGGAAAATTAAAACTTAATGAAGACAGAAACCATCTGCCCTGTGGACAACAAGCGGCCACTTTCATTAGCGCCTTAAGAAGCTTAAAGTGAACATGGCATCCGGACGCATGCAACAAACAGAGGGGATGAACTGCATCCAGTGACCTGATTCTTCTCCAGTTTTACTAAATATTTACAGCTCACTTCTCTTTTTTAATAAAGCTTTGTTAATCAAATTGTCAATCTGATAAACAACCATTAAAATGACTTAAAATGAAAATGAGAAGTCTGAATCTTTAGACTATACAAGTAAATTAAATGAGACAAATAAGGTATACTTACTCATTGTGGACATAAATACCACTTTTTTAACAAATAACTGATTTGAATATAGTTTTGTAATCCACACTGGGTCAAAATTACACATACAGTGCATCCTCAAATACTGTATAAACAGTACACATTTTCCCCTACAGTAATTCTTTGGCAAATTTTGCTGTAGGCTCTAACCTGTACTTTAATTTGACATGATCCAGGCCTGTTACAGTAGCTATTATAAATGTTTCCAAATTCTTCAACTTTACCTGAAATGAACAGAGTTTAAACCTGGACCCAGGTGTTCCAACAGAACAATATCCCAAACACATCAGAACTGGATCTGAACGGATAAAGTTGGCTGACGTTAAGCTTCTGTAAAAAAAAAAAAAAAAAAAAAAAAATGCACCGAATTAATTAATACCAGGGCTGTTCCAAAAAAAAAACCTCTAATTTAAATTAATCCACTTTAGTGTTGGATGATAAACATTTTTTTCCAGTCTTGTCATTGCAGAATTTGCAGTTTTGATTAAGTTCTGTTTTATCTTTTCAGACCCAAACCATCTGTCAATTTCTCCTTGACTAATAAAACACGTGGCTGCACCCCCTCTGTAATCTAAGCTCCTTTTTGTATTTACRTCATAATGATGGCTCCATTTGGGATCTGGATAATAAAAATCCCAACACTTTTTTGAAACTTGGCAAGTTTTTTGTGGCAAGATRTCATTCATTAAAGCAAGTTAACTTGGGAGATCATTTGCTTCCATTACAGTAATTTACCATTTAAACCAAAAAGGTTCCCCAAACTATTTCTATTTGTTAAATGTCCAATGAAACCGAGAATTTATTTCATGTTTACATACAATTTTTATTTGTTCGGACTTGGGCCAAATGTTTTGTGTATCCCTCCACAAGCATCTCATAATGTGTAGATTGCTGTTTTGCCTGTATGTTGCCTATTCTTCCTGAGTCAGGACTGTGGGCCACTCTGCTTGCACATGCTGTTTCAGCTCAGCCCATAAATTTTATTTGGGATTGAAATCAGAGTCCTGTGAAGGCCACCTTGTTGCTTTAATGTTATCACATGTTCTTCTTTTGTATCTATTTATTTTGTGAAACACCTAGGGTAAATCACTCCCACATTATGATGCTGCCACACCCGTACTTCACAGGTTTAAACAGTTTACAGTATTTCAAGTAAAGTTGTAGAATTTGGAATAGTGTTCTCAGGCTTGCAAGCTTTCCCCTTTTTCCTCCAGTTGTAAAGATCAGCAGTTTTAGTTTCATCAGACCACAGAACAGGTCTCCAAAAATTAAGGTCTCTGTGCGCATTTGCAAACTGTAATTTGGCTTTTGCTTCCAGAGTACTGTAATGGCTTCTTCCTTACCGAGTGGTGTTTCAGCTTATGATGGTGCAGGCTTTGATTTGCTGTAAACAATGACTCTCCTTACAGCAGCAGCAGCACGTCATACCAAAAGYATCTCAAAAACACTGAACTTGTCTACTTCCGGAGCAGTATGATGGCAGGCATTCCCGTGGTGTTTAATTAATTGTAAAATTGTATGACCAGAAGAACAAGGCTCCTGCAGACATCTGGAAATTAAACCCAAGGATGAACGAGTTGATTGAGTCGTGAAGGTTGAGGATTCTCTTCCTGTTTTCTTGGCTTTGTTATGATTTTTTTTTTACCATGATGCCACACAGTGTTTTTGAGGTGTGCTTTAACTCAGATGTTGCTAACTAACCTATTGAAAACTTTGAAAGTTATGACATCACCATCTGACAGCTTTCCCAAATTGTTTAAAAGCATATTAATCTTAGTGCAGGACTATTACCTCGCAATGGTCAGGGAAACACTGCATTACAACCCCTGGCAAAAAGTATGGAATCACCAGTCTTGGATGAGCACTCATTCAGACATTTCATTCTGTAAAACAAACTCAGATCAAAAACATGATACAATAATAAGGTCATTCCAAAGTGCAACTTGTTGGCTTTCAGGAACACTCAAAGAGATGAAGGGAAAATATTGTGGAAGTCAGTGAATGTTACTTTTATTGACCAAGCACAGGGAAAAAGTATGGAATCACTGAGTTCTGACGAAAAAAGTGTGGAATCACTCAAATTGGAGGTAGAAAATAAGGACACACCCAGTCAATTTCCTTTCCCTAAATGGACACCTGCCTCAGATTAGATCTGCTCGTTAGTCTGCAGTTAAAAACGCCTGCAGTCAGGACACCTTGGAGGACTGCTGGACGAAGTGGAGTGGCAAGAACCATGGCTCCAACAAGAGAAATGTCTCTTGAAACAAAAGAGAGGATTGTGAAACTTCTTGAAGAAGGTAAYTCTTCACGCATAGTTGCTAAAGATGTGGGCTGTTCACAGTCAGCTGTATCCAAGACATGGACCAAATACAAACAGCATGATGTATTTTGAATGGTCTTGTGTTTTTCATTTTTTCATACTTTTTTTCCTCAGAATTCAGTGATTCCAATTTTTCCCTGTGCTTGGTCAATAACAGTAACATTCACTGACTTCAACAATGTTTTCTCTTCATTTCTTTGAGTGTTCCTGAAAGCCAAGAAGTTGCACTTTGGAATGACCTTATTATTGTATCATGTTTTTTGATCTGAGTTTGTTTTACAGAAAGAAATGACTGAATGAGTGCTCATCCAAGACTGGTGATTCCATACTTTTTGCCAGGGGTTGTATGTAAGAGAACAGCATTATCTTTAACCTTTTAAAAATGCTCATTTTTCGGCACTGAATCGTAAATTTAAAATTGATTTAACTTTTTATATTAAAGTAAAAAAATTAAAGAATAAATATACTTAGCACAATAAATAAGTCAGTTTGGGTTTGGTAGATTGTTTCTTTGTTGTAACAATGCCTCTTTGCAATAAATCTTACATCAGGCTCCTGATTGGCAACACCTGCATGGGGCAACTAGAAGCTCAAAACAAGAATCAATTGCAACAGCAAAATAAACTGGCAGAGGTTTGGCAAATTTTTCATGTGTGCAACCCACACACTCAGCTCTACTGCTCATCCAATAAATGCATGGTCCTTACAAATCTGGCACCATTTAAAAAGGAAATTTACAGGTTTTCCAATAGTACAGGTGCTGGTCATAAAATTAGAATATCATGAAAAAGTAGATTTATTTCAGTAATTCCATTTAAAAAGTGAAACTTGTATATTATATTCATACATTACATACAAACTCATATATTTCAAATGTTTATTTCGTTTAATTTTGATGATTACAAATGACAACAAATGAAAATCTCAAATTCAGCATATCAGAAAATTAGAATATTACTGAAGACCAATAAAAACAAAGGATTTATAGAAATGTTGACCAACTGAAAAGTATGAAAATGAAAAGTATGAGCATGTACAGCACTCAGTATTTAGTTGGGGCTCCTTTGGCCTGTATTACTGCAGCAATGCGGCGTGGCATGGAGTCGATCAGTCTGTGGCACTGCTCAGGTGTTATGATAGCCCAGGTTGCTCTAATAGTGGCTTTTAGCTCTTCTGAATTGTTGGGTCTGGTGTATTGCATCTTCTTCTTCACAATACCCCATAGATTTTCTATGGGGTTAAGGTCAGGAGAGTTTGCTGGCCAATTAAGAACAGGGATACCATGGTCCTTCAACCAGGTACTGGTAGCTTTGGCACTGTGTGCAGGTGCCAAGTCCTGTTGGAAAATGAAATCTGCATCTCCAAAAAGTTGGTCAGCAGCAGGAAGCATAAAGTGCTCTAAAACTTCCTGGTATGTGGCTGCGTTGACCCTGGACCTCAGAAAACACAATGGACCAACACCAGCAGATGACATGGCACCCCAAACCATCACTGACTGTGGAAACTTTACACTGGACTTCAAGCAACGTGGATGAAGTGCCTCTCTTCTTTTCCTCCAGACTCTGGGACCTTGATTTCCAAAGGAAATGCAAAATTTACTTTCATCAGAGAACATGACTTTGGACCACTCACCAGCAGTCCAGTCTTGTTTCTCTGTAGCCCAGGCAAGACGCTTCTGACGCTGTCTGTGGTTCAAGAGTGGCTTGACACAAGGAATGCAACAGCAGAAACCCATGTCTTTCATACGTCTGTGTGTGGTGGTTCTTGAAGCACTCACTCCAGCTGCAGTCCACTCTTTGTGAATCTCCCCCACATTTTTGAATGGGTTTTGTTTCACAATCCTCTCCAGGGTGCGGTTATCTCTCTTGCTTGTACATTTTTTTCGACCACATCTTTTCCTTCCCTTCGCCTCTCTATTAATGTGCTTGGACACAGAGCTCTGTGAACAGCCAGCCTCTTTAGCGAGGACCTTTTGTGTCTTGTTCCCTTGTGCAAGGTGTCGATGGTCGTCTTTTGGACAACTGTCAAGTCAGCAGTCTTCCCCATGATTGTGTAGCCTATAGAACTAGACTGAAAGACCATTTAAAGGCCTTTGCAGGTGGTTTGAGTTAATTAGCTGATTAGAGTGTGGTACCAGGTGCCATCCATTTTGAACCTTTTCACAAGATTCTAATTTTCTGATATGCTGAATTTGAGATTTTCATTTGTTGTCATTTGTAATCATCAAAATTAAACGAAATAAACATTTGAAATATATGAGTTTGTATGTAATGTATGAATATAATATACAAGTTTCACTTTTTAAATGGAATTACTGAAATAAATCTACTTTTTCATGATATTCTAATTTTATGACCAGCACCTGTATATAATTTATTGTCAGAAAGCATTGTTACAAACAAATAATCTACCAAACACATTTTTTTTAAACTTTTGAGCTTAGTGTTTTGTAAAGAACTCATTGGCAGGCATGATGTGGCCCATGGGCCACCAGTTGAATAGCCCTGTCTTAGTGTAAGTAAGCTTGTGAAGTTGAAAGAAGCAGTAAACAAAATTCTCTTATTATTCAACCTTTTAGAAAATAGTGTAGAAATAATTCTGRGCATTCTAACGGATGTAAAACTGAAAAAGTTTAGTTTGATTTAATGACAATAAAAAACATTTCTGAACACAGCGTATGCAAACACATGGTTTGTTTAAAAAAGGTAAGGTGACGGCCTCAGTAAAACTTTAATATATCAGAGTTCACATAATTCTCAACTGATAGGAAAACGGATACAATATACAGTATTTCAGCACTGAACAAATACACAATTATGTAAATAATGTCACAAAAAAGTGTTAGATGTTGATGCAATGTTAACAACATTGTAACTCACAAGTGAGACCTTATTTACATGAGAATAATAAATGTGCTACTGGAACACTGCAGTAAGGTTGAGATCAAACATCTGGTTTGCATTCAGATGGGTCAGTGCTGGCTAATTTTATGTTCAAGCAGTGAAATTGATTTTAAAGAGAACTGTCTGGGGGGTGGTGACATCAGCTACAGCGATTTCCTGCCCGTCTGACAAGCCCAGCTCTGCGTTGAAAAGAAAGAAAAAAAAAAAAAAGAAATAAAATGTGCTATTAAAATGTGAACACAAGTCTGATTAAACAGAAGATTTTGAGTGCTGGATACTTATTACCTTTTAGAGTTTTGCAGAGGTTTGGCCTTGTGCGTTCTTCGATTGATTTTACAGACTGGAAAAAAACGATAACAAAAGGTTTAATTTAACTTTGTGATAAAAGCACTCTGCGGCAGCTCCGAAGTTCAATAATTACCTGCAGATACAGCGTTTTATTCTTTCCTTCTAGAGTCGTGGTGATAGCAGGTGATTTCATCTGTCTGCAGGGAAACAAGTGAACATATATTTCTGTGCTGCGTCACGGTGAAAGCTTTTATTCTGGGAACTCACAATGAGGCGTTCTCCGTCAGGTACTCTAAAACCTCCTGTAGTTTGGCAGAAGGATGGAACTGGAGATCCTGAGGTACTTGGCTGCACGCRGTACAATTTTCCTGTGCATCAAAGATGATTCAGATTACTTTAAACATTCTCTGTTTGGAAACGTGAGCGGTAAAAATGTTGATGAACACGAAGCCAACCTTTCGCTCGGCTTCAAAAGTGTAGGTGTACAGTCCGTCCACGTCGTTGAAGACGAGGTAGTTGTTTAAAGGAATATATGCGCTGAAATGAAAAAAATATTAGAAAGATGCTCAGCCAAGCAATTCAAAAATACCTGGAATTAAATACTGAAAAGGTGTTGCTGCTACCGACCTTGTAGCAATTTTAAAAACTTCGGTTGCACAAGCAGCTGTGAAGAGCAAAAGCCAAAATATTCAGTGAATTTTGTGTTTGTTTCTTCCAGCTAAAGAATAATTATTCAGCGATGCTTTCCACTTAAAAATGTGTTTAAAAATCTAAAGTAAATAGGGAAAATAAGAAAAAATAAATAARAACGATTCCAAAAATATTATCCTCCGTATCCTTGAATAATGAAGTTCCACATTTTTAGTGACCTAAAACTGGGTTTGAACATGAATTATTTAGCTATTTATTTTTGTTTTATCCTTTCTTCATACCCTTTTAACACATAAACCTTTGTGTGTGTCACATACAACACTCTAGACTAACTTTTCTCACAGGTTGCACCAGTGCAACTAACTTTTTTCTTAGATGCAGCAGCACAAACATTAGGTGCGCCCAAATTTTCAACTGCATCCTTTTAACCTCACAGTTTTATAGGTTTGTTTTTCTTTTTTTAATCACTGTCCATTATGGCAATATTAATGCATAAATAATTAGTTAATAATCTTGTTCTTTATTTGAACCAGAATTATACAAGACATATAGTTTAATGAGAAACTATTTAAAGCGATTCTATGACCTGAAATTATATTACTAACAGCTCAAGATAAATGAAAGGAAAGAAATAATTGGTGAAAACATTTAAAAACATCTCAAGCAGAACATTTTATGGCGAAATATCTTTTAGAATACAAATGCCGCTCAGATGGCCAACTCCTGTAGTTTGGCCTTCAGGATCTTTGGCCTTGGCTTAATCAGCTTTCCACATTCCCTAGCATCAAAATCCAAGCAGCAAATATCTCTTTTTAACAGCACGAAATAACAGAAAACTATACATTTTTAAATTTGTTAGACTGATTGATTAATTTTATTAAATGACTATTTAGATCAAAAGGACTATATTCTTTAGATGGTTTCAGCTCAATACTATAATAATACTTAATACTATATATTTTTTTTATATTTGGGTATTTCTTGAATTACATTTATCACAGAGCAGTTCTGTCAGTGTGGTTCTAAAGACCCTGTCACACTATAACGTTTTAGACAACTTACACAAACTTGTGAAAATTTTAATTCCATCTACGTTGAAGATGGAATTTTTAAAAGAATCAACTGGAATACACTTTTAGGCCTGTACATACTGTAATGCTAACAAATTAATCTAATACTGTATATAACTTTTATTAGTAATTTAGACATAAAAACATGTTCATAAGTTAGCATAAGTTGTCTAAAATGTTTTGACACCTGAGAGACACCGTAGCAACTCCTTTGCGTTTGGAAGCGGGGTGTGGGGGTGGGGGGAGGACCAGGGAGGATGATTCAACCACTCAACCACTAGATGTCGCTGAAAACAACAAATCCTACACACTGTGCCTTTAAGCAAGCTTAGAACATCCAAAAMCTTGTTATTACTATAAAAGTGTGAAGAATGAAATGTGTGGTTATTTTTGAAAAATTACAACAGCACCTGAAACAAACTGAACTATAGAACAAATGTRCGTCAGTGAGAGTTAAAATAGTTACATTAGAAGAACTGAAACAGTGAATCTTACAGAAAGACTCATCCTGTGCGCTCCCATGGCAGCGCTCAAACAAAGAGAAAGGAGTTTGGTCACGTGTGCAAAGCTGGACGTGTCTGTTCCATAATGACGCTCCGAACATATAAACATCTAACACAATACCTTTTTAAATACCTAGCAGACGCATTWAATGTTCTGCTGAAGCAAAGCAATTTGTTATATTAGTGAAAGTGAAATTAGATTTTTTTTTACTCTGTGGCTATTTATTTGTTCAATTAATTTTCAGTCACTTTATAATTACACRCTTTTTAGGTTAATAAATATGGTTAGAATGAAAATGTGGAATTCAGAAAAATAAATGGAAAAAGTGGAAATAAAAGAGATTTCATAGGGTCCTACATGACAATAAATTTGACTCTGACTGTTACAGTTCAACTCAAACGAGCTCATATAATTCAGCAGGTATTTGAGTGACATAATTTAAGGCTTTTGACTAAAACCTGCATTAAATAACAGAAGGTAAAATCAGACTTTTTACTGTGAATTTAATTAATGGTTTTTCAGGCACGTTCACCACAGAGCTGACGAAAAACGTCTCGTATTTCACCTGAAGAAGAAAAGTTTCATACCTGCAATAACGGCGTTTGTCGATGCCACGGCAGGAATAATCCTCTTCACAACTCCTGCAACACGACAAACACTCATGAGTCTAGTTCCATCAGTTCGGGAAACAAAAAGATGGTCAAGTGACAGAACGGAATAACTGAATGTGTTGAAAGTCATGTTTTCACCCTGCGTGAGTCTGTATGTCACTCCTGTGATGTTGAACTCTGCTGCTCGTTTTTGGGATCTTTCGAACACCCACTGGATGTGTTCTGGATTGTCTCCATCTAAACTCGTCTCTGATCAAGCAGAAAAGGAACATTTTATTCAGTCAAGTTGCACAATGTAATCAGGTGAACTTTGGTTAAACTGATGCTCTAAATATTTCTGCTCACCTCCAAAAGGCTTTTCTTTGGGCCACTGTAAAATTCTGGCATATTCAATGCAATGTTCTGGCAGCCTTGGCATAGACGCGATGGTACACATTGGGAAATTTATCTGTGAGTTGGAACATAAAAACAGGTTTATTGCACAAGTAGAAGTCCCCTTAATGAAAACAAAATAAAAAGAGCCTAATGCAAATAAATAAAAAGATATATAATT